GTGCGAACTTTTTGATATTTTGTTGCTGACTTGGTTTCCTTGTCACATGTTTTGTGTCTTATTCTTCTTATTTTGTGCCTAATTCCTGCATAATAGCACACACATAAAAGCAACCAAGACATTTTCACACAATGAAGTATATCATTAAAAACAAGAGTGATTCAATTTAATTAATCTACAAAAAGAATGAAAGATGTCAATATTTGATAGATCAAATAAGCAAAATTTGACATCTAACAATGACTTAAATGTTATTTCTTTGATACCTTATCATTTAATTTTCTAGTAGCCTTTACAAAGATAGTTTGACTTGAACTAGGTTTATCAAAATTAAAAAATTCAAGTCCACATTTGTTATTTGAAAATATTTAACTACTTAACACATTATCCAAGCCAACTTTTCCTTTTTCATATTTGCCCTTGACTTGGTTTAATTCCATAAATTTTTACTCAAAAGATGAACAATTATTGCATGCTGAATTTTTTATTAAGTCTAATTCCACTTTTATGATATTAGTATCACTTTCTAGATTTAAAATATTTTTCATTTGTTTTGAAAATTTTCTGGAAAGTTTTAAATTTTCCTCATTTATTGTCATCCCACTTTTGTGATTTTAAAATATTAAAATCACTTTGTAATTCATCATATGAAGGTCTATCATCAATTTCAGAATCACTAACCTCATGTTTTTCATCACTTGAATGATGTGATATCATTAATGTCTTCCTTGCATGAACATATTTTATTGTCATCTCATTTTACATATGCTTTCTTTGTCCTTTTGTTCTTCTTTCTATTGAATTTTATATTCTTTTGAAATGTAAGGCATTCACTTTTAACACACCATCTTTCTCCCCCCCCCCCCCCCCCCCCCCATTCAAACCATGTAACCTTCCTTGTTGGTGTTTCCTTTTTAAGGATCTCTTTTTTCCTTTCTTTTCTTAAGAACTTTTCAAACTTCTTGATAAGATCACCATCTTCATCACTAATGGATTCATCCTCTTGATTGATATCATGATTTTTGACTCTAGTCTTTAAGGTAAAACTTTTTTAATTCTTTCTTTCATCTTCATGTCTTTCTAAATTTTCAAGTTTTATCTCATGCTTTTGATGTTTATCGAACAATGACGCATAAGACGATTCCGAAAGACTTTTCCTTTTTGAAATAGTTGTTACCTTTGGTTGCCAAGCTTTTGTTAAAGATCTAATCACTTTTAGATTCAATTCACCATTTGTAAAAGTTTTGCCGAGAGCCTCAAATGATTTGTTGAATGAGTAAATCTCCTTTAGAAATCAAGAATAGATTCATGTGGCTTTATTCTAAACATTTCATATTCTTGTGATAAAATGTTTAGTTCAGATTTACCTCTACCATTCCTTCAACTGTGACTTCTAAAGTGTCCCATATTTTCTTTATTGCTTTGCATTGAGAGACACGAAAGAATTCATCCATGCTTAAGGCCGCTTGAATAAGATTCTTTGCTTTCTTATCATAGGGAGATTTTTCTTATCATCTTCATTCCAAGAAGTTTTCTTTTTCTTTTTCTTGTTCAACGTCATTGATTACCATTTTAGAAACATAAGGATCATTTTCAACAACATCTCACACTTCTTCTCCCTGTGCTTCAAGATGTGCTTGCATGCAGATCTTCCAAAAATCATAATATTCATCACAACAAAGGAGGCTTATTGTTACTATCGCGTCACTAATAACCCGAATTAGGGAAGCCATTATCTGGATCTTAGGAACAAGTTACTTATAACCTGTTTTGATACCAAGTGTATGTAAGTATTGAGGGCATAACCTAAGAGAGAAGGAGTGAAATTGGTTTTATGAAATTATTTGGTTTTATGAAATTATCTGGTTTATTTTATGGTTAAGAGAGATACGATAAAGTTGACAGAAAATAAAGTGCAATAAAAATACATATCATAGAGATATATCCTAGTTCCCTTTATCCAACCAAGGGTAGTATATCTCCATCACTCCCGTGAGAGAATATTGTTATATCTTTGTACACCCTACAATAGACTCTCTTACAATCTTCTAATAATAACAAAGAAGCTACATCACTTCCTTGATTTCAACCAAAATACCAACATGTTGAACTTTAAATCAACCTGATTCAAAGGACCTTTTCTGACAAACAAAAATACAACTCTTCCTATTTGTAAAATTCTATAGAAAATACAACCTCTTTCTTACAGACAAAAACCACCACTCAATTTGGTGAAAAATTACAGTACACAGATAATTTTTATGCACACAGACTTTGCAGCATACTTCAATAACTTTGAGAGATTTTCTTCTTTTCTGGTATTTTGAAAAAGATATTCTCCCCTTTCCTATAACAATTTATAATCACCGATATATTCAAGTGCTCAATGACTTAGAACCTTTTACTTGATGTGAAAGTTATGCACAAAAAATTTTCTCTTAAAAATTATGAGCACAATAAAATATTTTTCAGGAAAGAGGTGTTTTGAAAAAACAAATAAAATGATCTTTTATAATAAAATGATACCTCTTGGAAATCGATGCAATGTTATGAAATAGTTTCATGAAAATAATCAATTGAATAGTTATCAATCAGCTGAAACTTTTTCAAATTGAAGTGAGTGACAATTGATTATGGTTATTTTGCAATCAAATGTGTAGTCTCCCTAACGACTCAAAATAATGAAATCTTAACTATGACAATCGATTGTGGCTATTCTGACAATTGATTGTGGGGAACAAAATAGACAAAAATTCACCCTCCCAATCGATTGTGGCAAACAAGGAAATCGATTAGAACCATCCAATTTTATACATTTCAAAGTCAGTAAGATCAAGACAATCGATTGTCGCAATATGACAATTGATTGGAGCATCACAAAAAGCTCATATAATTGATTGTGGCAAGATGAAAATTGATTTTCATCCTTTAAAGCAACACATTTTCTTCAATTTCCCAACACTTTCCTGAATGAAAACATGATTAAAAGATTTATAAAACCCTAAAGAAAGGTTGGAGATGAAATGAGACTTGAGCACTTAAAATATAAATAAAAATTTAATTGCTACAACTACCTTAATAAGTTGATCAAGGAAAAAAAGAGATTTTCCACGTTACTTAGCAAAGCTAATTTCCCTAGCCTCTTTCGAGCCGACATTAAGAAGCAACTACATCTCTTGTACTGCTTCCCTTGTTTCCTCGGCGCCGCATCACAAGGGACAATACCATTGGCATAGCCTACATTCTCAAAGAAAGATACCAATTGACTTTTCATGTGAATCTCCCCTTGATACAAGTTATCCATTTTATAAACGTAATATTTTAATCTGCGCCAGAACATTTAAAATATGTCCGAACATTGATAAGGTGGCCCCTCGACTATATGATACATATGTTGGCATGGGCCTCATCGCTCAGGGGGTAACAAAGAAATAATGATTTTTGAAATATTTCGCTCTTGAGTAAACCTCAAACATCTTGGAACACTGCCAAAGAGGTATCAGACCTTGGCCATGTTCCGAATCAGTAGAGCTGTGTTGGACTTTAAAGAGATGTAAGAAGAGCAACATGGTCGGCGCACCATTCATATATTCAGACCATGTGATCTACCATATTGGATTACAATAAAACGAAGCGTAGGATTATAATAACTTTTTATATGTATTTCCACAATAATGAACCGTGTGATCTACCATATTGAAAAATATGAACCACATCACCAACAATCAAGATCTCATTGTGAACTATTAGAGTAATTGATTATCCTATGCCAGACGACGTCATAACCATCAGACATGGAGACACCCTTCCAAACTTCCATGTGAAACATTGATGATAAAAAAACATTTAATGTATTTTTTCAAATATTAATGACTCCTCATTGAGACTCTTCACTTACTTTTATTAACACCCAGTCTAAAGATGTACATAGAAAACCCTTCGTTCTACATAATAGAAACAAGGGCTTGAAGGTCAATTGTTATGGGTCGTTCGCGAAACCCTTAGCAAAAGGTCCAAGAGCGAATATCGAGTTGAAAGGCGTGTAGAATAGGTAGGCCTATATTCTAACCACAAGCAGACAATTTCGTCCTTCAACACAATAATCACCGCCTGATTCAATCTGATAGTTGTCCGCACAGCTTGTCGTATCACTCGGAAACAGTTTCAACCACTCTTAATATATAAGGGAAAATGCACCATTTTAGGTATTCGAATATATTCTCATTCACACATTACTCCTCAATTCTCTCACTGATTTGAGCGTTAGAGTGTTAATCTTACAAATCCGTCATGCTCTGTCAGATCGAAAATATCACGCTGCCGCAACGAGACACAACTCCACCGCCTATCTTTTATTTTTATTTCATATCAGAAGAGTACCATTGCCCCCAATACATCTTAGGGGATTCAAATGATGGATAAAGATAAGCAAGTTTGTATTATAATGAGAAAGAAAGATAGATTTAGGCTCTAGTACCATATAATAAGAGAAAGAATGTAAAAGAAATGATTGATAACTTGAGAACGTGGTTGGATTTATTGAGTTTCACATGAAAGCACGATCTCACCAACCTGTTATTGCCAAACAATTAAAGGAAAAGGGGGCCAAAATCCAACAATCATTCCCTTACAATAACAATCATACTCTTATGTGGGGACTTATCCTTATATTCTTTGTATAGCATGAAACAAAATCATAAACTAAGCTTAAACCAACCGTGCATTAACAGTTGATATAAATAAACATTCTAAAATTTCAAGATATGAAAGATCTTATTCTCTCACTTTGCTTACATTTAAAACCTATTCTTACAAGATTAAATATATTACATCTTACCTTTTTTTTCCTCTTGCACGCTTACACACACATGCACATTGAAATTATACATGATAAAAGCAAAACGAGGTTATGGCGGTGTCCACCATATATATGATTATGTATATTTTCCTATTTAAGAAAGTTACCAAGTAGTAGTATCATAGAGAGTGAGAGAAAAATAATGGATACAACTTGGATTCTGTTTGTGACACCAATTTTCTTGTGCACTTTGTTCCTCTACTGCAGAAACAGGCTTAGTCTTAAGCTCAAATCAAAACACAGAAATCAGCTTCCACTAGGCACTCTTGGATGGCCTTTTATTGGTGAAACCATTGAGTTTGTTTCTTGTGCTTATACCGATCGCCCCGAAAGCTTCATGAACAAGCGACGCGCCATGTAAGTTCATCATCATGCATCACTTCATTCATAGCTAACTTTGTATTAAAACATATTGGTGTCTGTTTAGTTGTAAAAAATTGACTTTATAACTTCGAGGGACAAAATTCAAATCTCTTCAGAAACAGTTGTAAAATGATCATTAGTACTACTTTCCGTACAAGTTTATTGTTTTTTTTTACGAAGATTTGTGGTGTGCTGTTGAAACATATTGCAGGTATGGTAAGGTGTTTAAGTCACACATATTTGGAAGTCCTACCATTATTTCAACAGATGCAGATGTGAACAAGTTTATACTACAAAGTGATGCAAAGGTTTTTGTTCCTTCATATCCTAAGTCATTGATGGAGTTAATGGGAGAGTCTTCTATTTTGCTCATCAATGGAACCTTACAAAGGAGAATACATGGACTAATTGGAGCTTTCTTCAAGTCTCAACAGTTAAAGATTCAGATTACAACAGATATGGAGAAATATGTTCAAGAATCAATGGCAAATTGGAAACAGGACCAACCTATATACATACAAGATGAAACAAAAAAGGTTACCTCTCTGTCTTTATAAGAGTTTGTGAATGTTTGTTTGTGAGTTTGTGCTTATCTTTGTTTTTTTGTTTCTCACATGTGTTATGGTGTCAGAACTTTTAAAATTCACTGTTTTCCAAGATACTAACATTAACAATTAATCACTTTTTTTTTCTCTAGATTGCTTTTTATGTACTAGTGAAGGCATTGATTAGTTTGGATCCAGGTGAAGAAATGGAGAGTCTGCAAAAACATTTTCAGGAATTTATCTCCGGCCTCATGTCTTTGCCAATAAACCTACCGGGAACAAAACTTTATCAATCTTTACAAGCAAAAAAGAAAATGGCGAAATTAGTGAGAAAAACTATCCAAACTAGAAGAAATGAAGGAATCATTGAAGTTCCAAAAGATGTAGTGGATGTGCTTCTGAATGATACAAGTGAGAAATTGACAGATGATTTAATAGCAGATAATATTATCGATATGATGATTCCTGGAGAGGACTCAGTTCCAGTTCTTATGACTCTAGCTACTAAATACCTTTCAGAATGCCCGGCTGCTTTGCAACAATTGACGGTACTATACGCATCTACGTAACACATGGCTTGAAAAAAGTCCTTTTACTGATTTCTTGATTAGCTTTTGGTAACTGAACTTTGATGATTCACAGGAGGAAAATATAAAGCTCAAGAAACTCAAAGATCAGCTTGCGGAGCCATTGTGTTGGAGTGATTACTTATCATTGCCATTTACTCAAAAAGTAAGCAAAACATGGCTCCTTATCAAAGCACAAAAAACAGTGATTTATGATTTTAAACTTAGTTGTTTTATGTTTCACTTATACAGGTTATAACAGAAACTTTGAGGATGGGAAATATTATAAATGGTGTTATGAGAAAGGCCTTAAAAGATGTTGAAATAAAAGGGTATTTAATACCACAAGGGTGGTGTGTGTTTGCAAATTTTAGATCAGTTCATCTAGATGAGAAAAACTATGAGTGTCCATATCAATTCAATCCATGGAGGTGGCAGGTAAGAGAAAAAACCTATACTATTTAAATCTTGGTATAGTTTTTATGGATACAAATTCCGTACAGACACAATCTCGTGACTGCATGCAGTCAGTCACATCCGAATCGTGCTATCAAGAAAATACGGTCTAAATTTCAAGCATTGAAATCTTAAAGACTAAAATTGGTATTGAAATACAAACAATCTAATCTTGATTAGACAATTCAGATGTGGTTGACCGCATGCAATCACACTATACATAATCTTTTTTTATGGTTCATTTGCATTTGCATGTTATATTTTTAGTCTAAGTGATTTTTTGTTTGACCTCAGGATAAGGAAATGAACAGTCACAATTTCAGTCCTTTTGGAGGGGGACAAAGGCTGTGTCCTGGTATTGATTTGGCCAGGCTAGAAGCTTCCATCTTTCTACATCACCTTGTTACTCAATTCAAGTAATTATTTGATCCTAATAATGAGTTAAGATTTGTGTTTTTCATTTTGGACAACTACATTTGACTACTATCTCTTGGCACTTTCAGACTTTTGATTAAAGTTACAGAATATAAAGCAATGACAGTTAAAAACAGGTTTTAGAAAACAGTACGTGACCGCGAAAATGGCCACAACAAAACAGTATTGGCAAATGCCGATACCGTTATTCACCGTTTTCATGTTAAAGAACAAATTATGGTTAATTCACAATCAGTGTTGTAACACTTGTACCGATTGAAATCGTGAAAGGCTTTACGCGACCGCGACTGTTTTTTAAAACCTTGATCTTAAATATAATGTTTCATATGCAGATGGTATGCTGAAGAAGATACAATAGTGAACTTCCCAACAGTAAGAATGAAAAGAAGGATGCCTATCTTAGTAAAAAGAGTGGAAATTTAAGCTGTCTTAGCTCACAAAAGTTTGAAGCCACTTCTACAACTTTATACAGTACAACAAGTATATGAAAAATACACAAGACAGAATAAAAGAGGATTAATGGGGGACCAGGAAAAACTGGCTAATGTAGACACACGTGTGGGGAGTTTCATTAGCTTTTTTGTTTTGTTCCCTTGAATTTTGTCTTTGCACATAAAGACAATAGAAAGTTTTGTCTTTTGAGGGACCCAATGAATTAGGTTTTTACCTCTCACAAATTTTTCTTTTCCATTTTACTTGGTATGCAAGTAAAAAAAAGTTGATTGTAAGATAACAACACTTTAAATTATCATTAATTAGAGTGATATTAATAGTAGTTTTACAATTATTTTCGAAGAGATTTGAGTAGAACTTAAAATTATAAAGTCAAAATCTTACCAATGTATAGAAGAAACTCTTTTATATTTTATATTTTCTTTTCTTTTTCTCTTTTCCTTTCTTTAGCAGAGGACTCAATCATGATGGTTAAGAGGGTCTTGGAAAAATAGTAGTTTGAATTTAAGGGTCCATAAACCAATGATATTCATGGGATAAGTTGCTGAAAATCTATTTTAAATATGCACTTATTCATACTTTAGGTGGGGATGATTGAACTTGAACATAAAAAAATGATAGGGATGGTTGAAATAGGAAACTTTAGTAGTACATATATATGAGGTCCACTGCCTTTCATCATGAATCTAACTGTATCAGATTCTTGATCCACCATTAAATCTGATTCTAAAAGCAATTTTTAAACTCATCTAACTTTTTGTTATTTTGTTTAAACTTGTTTCAACATATGAGCATCTTCAAATTTAATTTTGAACAATCATTAACCATCTAATAATGTGTTGGGGCTTTCAATCATTAACACAATTGGTCCCTTTATTTGGTAAACATCCATTTAACACCTACTTTCTTAGGCTTAGATATTTTTGGTGTTCTTTACTTAAAATATTCATAACTATCTTTAACAACATAATTTTCTCAAATTTATAATAACCAATCTTCTCAAACTTATAATGTCAATAATTCCAATAACTGTACATTAAACGTGGTACGCACCAAACAGAGGTATACACTGAACCACGATTTGATCCAATTTAAACGGATCATTCTGTTTGGATCAGATTTTAGAATACCTTTTTACTCAATCAAGGGTCGGTGTATTTGCCCAGTTTCAAAGAAATTCCCGGTTGAACTTGAAATCAATGGGAGAATGGGACCACCAGAATCTAATTCTCAGGACAGCAAAGCAGATGCACCAAAACAGAACAAGCTTCCGTTCCTTGAAGTCAATTTTTGACTTGAAGTCAATTTTTGACTTGCCGTTTAGTTACCAGTGGGAATCATCAACTCCAGTGTTGAAAATGAAGCTTGTAAATACTGTGGTTATCTCTCTGGCCAGTGACCAAACAAAAAATGAAAACTTTGAACTCAGTCCGAACCAATTCATTCCAAACCATTGAATTAAAAGAGGTAAGGAATGGGAGTATCTTACTTCAGATTAGGAAGAGTCAGGTGCCTTAGGAGTGAGGGGTTCCGAATGACAAACTCCCTCCACTCTTCTTTACTGATCCTGTCATCCTTGTCAGCATCAGCATCTTTAAATGTCTGATTTTTATTTTAAAAAGGTTACATAAAGGATTGAAGTTAAACAGCATAAGAGAGAGTGAAATGTTCCAACGAATAATTTACCTTGTCAATAATGGCTTCAAGGATTTCATTTTCCACATTCATGCCACATTCTGATAAAATGGCAACCACCATTTGTTGAACCTGGAAAAATTAGTAAGATAACAAAATAGTTACAAGCATTGGTAGATATAAAAGTATTGGGAGAAACAAGTTATACAAAACAGCAGAGCCCTAATGGCGGTTATTGGAACTGAGATTTAATCATTATTCAAAGGACAAACCACCACCACTTTTCTTCATTAAACTTGTAATTTAAACTGATATTGCAATATGAAAATTTCTAGTGCAATACATTCTACGATAACAAAAATATGTTTGAGCCAATAACACTTTCGTAACTTGGATATGCGAAAATACTCACTTCTTCTCGTTCAATGTATCCAGTCTGTCTCAAGTCATACAATCTAAAGGCAACTGGAAACAAACCCAGAAAATATAATATATGTTTTATCAGTACCGATGGTATTAAAACATATAATATAAAAATAGAACTACAAAACTGAGTCTTACAATCAATTTTCTTTTCCAAAGGAGTATTAGGATGAAAGACACTAAGAGCATGCACAAACTCCTCAAATTCTATAACACCATTCTTTTTTTCATCAAAGAGATCAAACACCTGGGAGATTTTACAAACAGTCAACAAAGCTCAATCATACAACTCCTAACGGAAGAATAGACATAAACAACATATCTTTCCGCAAATCAGGTATATGCATATCTGTCTAAATTTTAAAATGTTAGATTACGACAAACTTAATGCACTGATCCCTTGTATATTTTTATAAGTACTATATCACTCAAAAATGAAAAGCTTACCCTCACTTCCTTTTCCCATTTAAACCCTCCATCCAAGCATATAAAGAAAGAAAATATACCAACTTGAAAAATAGAGAACGAATTAATCTGAATTGCTTGAGATGGATGGATTGAATCCATCCATATGAGTTAGTGGATGGATTGGATCAAATCCTTTAAATTATTTTTTGTCTTATGGATGGATTGGATCAAATCCTTTAAATTATTTTTTGTCTTATGGATGGATTGGATGGATATTATCTAAATGGATTTCATTGCCACCTCTAATGATACTCCTTAAAATACATCTGCCAAAAGAAAAGATACATATTTGATCTTTTTACAGAATTTTACTCACAACAAACAGCTAGGAAATTATATCAGTCCATCACAGCAATTTAAGTTTGTGAGGAAAGGCAACAATTAGGACTTACAGATATACAACTTCAAAAGGAATGATACAGAAAACTCTAGAGTTTGAATGTATTTGGTCCTACTTGATAAATGTTTTCGTTGCAAATCAAAATATAACTTCCTTAATACAATAAGGCCTCATGAATGAAATCAAGAAAACAAAACTAGAATCAATAACAAGTTTGAAAATGAACATACCCGATCAAGGAAAAGATTCTTGCCAACCGTGGTCTTCATTAGTGCCAATGTAAGCTCTTCCTTCATAGACAGAGAGAGGGAAAAAATAGTTAAAGGGTGCAATCTAATCACAAATTCAACACTAGTGCCGGTAATGATAAACCTAACAGAATCAACACCAAACATATACTTTTATCTTTAGAGAAAAGCACAAAATTAGGATAGAAAAAGACAAGTCCCAATCCCATATCACAATCTAAGTTGTTATTTTCACATAATTTCATTGAAGTTAGCAGCATTGCACTAGAATATCTAAGTTGTTATTTTCTCAAAATTAGACGAAACCGTAACAACCACTAGAAACTCATACACATGAGGCTCAAACCCCGGTGATGACGTTCAACCTAACAAAATCCGCTTTAGTCAGTTGAGCTATGATTTGCAGACGAATAGAGTATTTACATGTAAATAAACAGAAAACAGTTAGTTACTTTATGGATGAGACCATCGTCAATGATTGAACAACTCAACTTCTTGTACAATTCATGCAAAGCCTCTATTTCATTCACATTAACTGCCAAAACCAAATCACAAAATTAAAATCATAACAATTAGTATTTACGGAACAAACAAACAAAACCGAAAAATGAAGAAACGAACAAGGAGAATCATTGGCGAGTGCGAGAATATCATCGAATGTAGAAGAAAACTTCTTCTCTTTCTTCTTCAGCTCTAAACTACGGAAACTGAAGCAACTTGTTAAGCCATAAAACAAGGCTTCAGCAATTCCAATCAGCGGAATGAACACCACGCAGAGTTTTTCTCCGAAAGTTAAACTCGATCTCTGATGATTACATGAATAAACAACAAATTTCAAATTTTGATTTGAGGGATAGCGAAACAGAAATTGAAATCTAAAAGGTTCTAGAAAACTTGGATTACCGCTGAAAGAGAGTTGTCCATATAATCTCACCGTCGGCTAACATGAAAAAGTTTCCGAGCGATCACGTCATATACATGGAAATTAATTTTTTGTATTTCGATTACAACGGATTTGGATTCAATTCATAATTGTTTATCCCTTAATTTTTTTTAAAAAAAAATCATATTAATTATTTAACTCATTCAAAACGTGTTATAATAATTAATATACGGAAACAGAATGAATATAAAACCTAATTAAATTGGAAAAGAATCGTATTCTCATAAAAAATCATTAAAGTATTAATTTGTTTTATTAACATTTTGTTATAAATATGGTTATATTTGTACACTAATAAATTAGACACCATACGGTGTCCTTGCCATTTTTTATGCATAGGTATACTTTTAGGGATTTATGAAAATGTATACGAATAAAAAGTAACTAAAGATAGAGATAAATATATTCGGTATATAATGTGTCAACTTTTTGATGTTAGAATAACACTGCTCTTTATTATGTATTGAATTTCAATTTATTTATCTAATTTACTAGTTATAATTATTTTTAAAAAATCAACTTTTTTTCATTTATTTAAACATTCACAATAAAGGATATAAACACATCATTGACTCCTAAAAAAAAATTTAATTATTCTAATTTTTTTTTAATAACAATAACATAGCCTTACAAATAGATAAAATAACACCAATTTAAAAAACCACACATCTACAATTAATTTACAATTTAGTTCTAAAGATATGTTAGTATACCCTAAATTCTTAATTCAATGTAGTGTTTTCGACTTCACGGGGTAGAGGACTACCTCTTCTCCATATGGTTTGTGCTATAATGAAGTTTTTAAGATTGTCTCGAATGCATATTTTTACTCTATAATATTTTTATCTTTGAAAATAGCGGTGTCAATGTTGCATTTGAACTTTCCTGGTCCCGAAATTGTCCAAATAGTATTATTTATTTTATTTTGGTGTTGTTCTCTAGTAATAGTCAATGTTTTAGCTGTGTCGCATTGTTTTTCGCGCCTTCATGGTCTCAAATGCGTTCTCCCACCTTCATAACTATCAAAATTAGTCTTTAGTTAGCATTTTGATGCATAATTCCTCTAGAATTCACATGTTTTCATTAATACAAACAGTTTTGCGCAAATGATAACGGTCAAACTTACTTAATCAATATAACTCATCCCCCCCCCCCCCCCCTCATTTGTGTATAGAAAGTGATAGAACACTTATTTGGACTTTCCTAGCATGTATTGCCTAAAAATGGATAAAAAATACTGGAAAATCACAATTCAAGACACAAAGACCAAGCCAGAGTAAAACTCTTCAAAGCAAGGCTCGTTAGGCCAAGAGCATAAGAGAGTTAATTAAGCGAGCTCAAGAGGCTATGTGGCACTTCCAAGCTAAAGTACAATTTTGTGTGCTAAGCATATATGTGGTTCGCCTAGGGAGGCAAGGCGGCTAGGACCACCTATCAAACAACTAGCATTGCTTTAAAAATCTTTTTGTTAGGGGTTAGATGTAGTCATTATATTCATACATTAAATAGGCCATGACGTTTTATGTAAGCATACTCAAGCTTTAATATTGATGACTTTTAATCTTAATGTTTGTTTTACATTTGCTACCCAAAACTTGTTTTTAGGGTATAATTAACATCCGAAAGGTGTTTATCGTTACTATATCTAAAATTATCATCTATTAGATCTCAATGCCTAGACATAGATTTAGTTCAATAATTGCATGTATTATAGTGGGATTGACGAGGAGTTTCGTTGTTTTATAACTGTTGGAAAGTAATGTTTTGTGTTGGTTAATAGACTGAGATATCAGCTATTAGATAATGCACTAATCTCATAGCGTTGAGACCAACAAGAGATATGAATGAGATCTACAAGTGGTAAGATTAATTGTTGAGTAAAAGAGTGTGTTATTGACATATGATTATGCATGATAAATATGTGATGACAAAATATACGAATTCACTTTTATTATTAACATATCTTTGACTACTTAGAACAACTAAGCATATATGTGGTTCGCCTAGGGAGGCAAGGCGGCTAGGACCACCTATCAAACAACTAGCATTACTTTAAAAATCTTTTTGTTAGGGGTTAGATGCAGTCATTATATTCATACATTAAATAGGCCATGACGTTTTATGTAAGCATACTCAAGCTTTAATATTGATGACTTTTAATCTTAATGTTTGTTTTACATTTGCTACCCAAAACTTGTTTTTAGGGTATAATTAACATCCGAAAGGTGTTTATCGTTACTATATCTAAAATTATCATCTATTAGATCTCAATGCCTAGACATAGATTTAGTTCAATAATTGCATGTATTATAGTGGGATTGACGAGGAGTTTCGTTGTTTTATAACTGTTGGAAAGTAATGTTTTGTGTTGGTTAATAGACTGAGATATCAGCTATTAGATAATGCACTAATCTCATAGCGTTGAGACCAACAAGAGATATGAATGAGATCTACAAGTGGTAAGATTAATTGTTGAGTAAAAGAGTGTGTTATTGACATATGATTATGCATGATAAATATGTGATGACAAAATATACGAATTCACTTTTATTATTAACATATCTTTGACTACTTAGAACAACTAAGCATATATGTGGTTCGCCTAGGGAGGCAAGGCGGCTAGGACCACCTATCAAACAACTAGCATTACTTTAAAAATCTTTTTGTTAGGGGTTAGATGTAGTCATTATATTCATACATTAAATAGGCCATGACGTTTTATGTAAGCATACTCAAGCTTTAATATTGATGACTTTTAATCTTAATGTTTGTTTTACATTTGCTACCCAAAACTTGTTTTTAGGGTATAATTAACATCCGAAAGGTGTTTATCGTTACTATATCTAAAATTATCATCTATTAGATCTCAATGCCTAGACATAGATTTAGTTCAATAATTGCATGTATTATAGTGGAATTGACGAGGAGTTTTGTTGTTTTATAACTGTTGGAAAGTAATGTTTTGTGTTGGTTAATAGACTGAGATATCAGCTATTAGATAATGCACTAATCTCATAGCGTTGAGACCAACAAGAGATATGAATGAGATCTACAAGTGGTAAGATTAATTGTTGAGTAAAAGAGTGTGTTATTGACATATGATTATGCATGATAAATATGTGATGACAAAATATACTAATCCACTTTTATTATTAACATATCTTTGACTACTTAGAACATTACTCAAACCATTTTTTCCATTTTCATAATTTCTGTTCTGGACTGGTCCGAGGCTTAGCCCACAATCGAGAAGACCCAAGTCCCACTGAGGTTGGGCCCAATTGGACCACACTGATGAGCAGGGCAGGTGCCCATCCTGTCGGGCAGAACCTCCTCCCGTCGGGCAGGTGCCCATCTTGTTGGGCAGAACCTCCTTCCGTCGGGCAGAACCTCCCCCCGTCGAGCAGGTGCCCATCTCGTCGGGCAGAACCTCCTTCCGTCGGGAAGGTGCCCATCTCGTCGGGCAGAACCTCCCTCCGTCGAGCAGGTGCCCATCCCGTTGGGCAGAACCTCCTTCCGTCGGGCAGGTGCCCATCTCGTCGGGCAGAACCTCCCCCCTTCGAGCAGGTGCCCATCTCGTCGGGCAGAACCTCCCCCCGTCGAGCAGGTGCCCATCTCGTCGGGCAGAACCTCCTCCCGTCGGGCAGGTTCCCATCTCGTCGGGCAGAACCTCCTCCCGTCTGGCAGGTGCCCATCTCATCGGGCAGAACCTCCCCCCGTCGAGCAGGTGCCCATCTCGTCGGGAAGAACCTCCTTCTGTCGGGCAGGTGCCCATCTCGTCGGGCAGAACCTCCCCCCGTCGGGCAGGTGCCCATCCCGTCGGGAAGAACCTCCCCCCGTCGAGCAGGTGCCCATCTCGTCGGGCAGAACCTCCCCCGTCGAGCAGGTGCCCATCTCGTCGGGCAGAACCTCCTTCCGTCGGGCAGAACCTCCTCCCGTCAGGCAGGTGCCCATCTCGCCGGGAAGAACCTCCTCCCGTCGGGCAGGTGCCCATCTCGTCGGGAAGAACCTCCTCCCGTCGGGCAGGTGCCCATCTCGTCGGGCAGCACAACGTGCCTTCCACACGTTCTCCGTGTGCTCCCCTCCGTGGGGATACGTCATCCACCAACTGCCCATCTCCGAAAGAGCAGGTCAAACCCACTTTTCGGAGATCACGGAGCAGTTGGACTAGGGCGAAGACCACATTTCGGTCTTCACTACACCATGTAAGCCCTAGCAGTCATTTGGATTGGGCCTGGCCATCCAGCCCAACTCAAATGACCGTTGGCCCAGCGCTGGGGTCTCTCTATAAATACCCTCTTCCCCAAGAGGGCCAGGTATTCCATTCTTCTACCACTTTCTGTATTTGCTGTCACTCTGCCCAATTTCTCACTTTGGCATCGGAGTGCCTTGCAGGTACACCCCATCCTCATCCTCCACACCGGTGAACAGAAAGCCGTCCAACGGAGCGTGGCCATCTAGTGATCCCCTTCTGATCAGGTCAGATCAATTTCATATAACTTGATTAACATCAACAATTTCAGATTCAAGATATATACATTTATCACATGTTAAACAATCAATTTGAATATGTAATTTAGATTTATCTTTGACTAACTCATCTTGCATGCTTTTAGAATTACTTTCTAATGATGAAATTATTTTCTTTTGCTTAACACATAATCTAGAAAGCTTTAAACATTCATCATCTAAGTCATTGAAAGCATTATGTAATTCATCTTAAGAAGGTTTATCATTATTAACCTCATCATCATCATCACCGACATCATTAGAGTTATGTGAAACGATGAATGATAAATGTGTTTGTTCTTCAATTTTGGAACTTGTACTCACATAATCGTCTTCCCAAGCGATGTATGCTCTCCTTGACTTTTTATTTTTCTTGTTGTTGAATTTGTTCTTCTTTTGAAGTGTAGGACAATCATTTTTGACACGCCTTAATCTTCCACATTAAAAATAAGTAATTTTCTTTCCTTAAGTT